GGGACTCTGGAGCCACACTACCAGAATTCAGAGCCTGTTCCAACACTGCCGGATGGTGACCCAGCACAGGTTACTGAGGCTCTCCAGGCCTCAGTTCCCACCACTGCGAGGTGGGAAGCAGAGCGGATTCCTCCTTGGCTTCCAAAGCGCCTCATTGTTCCAGTTCTTACCTACACATCACTGCCTCTGTGAGGACCACCTCCCTGATCACCCAAACTAAAACATAGTAATATCCCCACACTCTTTCCCGACCCCCATTCATTTTGCCTTCGTAACATCAATGACGACCCGATATCCTATCACAGATTTGTTTGCTAGGTAGGCACCTGTCTCTCCTAGAAGGTAGGCCCACAAGTCCTGATCTTCCAAGTGCTACAGCAGTGCCAGGAATGTCACAGGCCTCCAGCACATGAGCTGAGTGGAAGGCAGAATAAGCAAGTACAGATTTTATCAGGTATTAATTATGTTCTGCACTGTTATTTGATATTAGTCCAGCTGTTTGGGGAAGGGTAGACAGAAATTCAGCCTAGTGAGCCTCTCCCCATCTGTCCCTAAAGGGAACAGCCACAGGCCCTGGGGAACACGGTGTGAAAACCACAGAGGAGGGAGGCGACCATCGGGCCTGTGCTGTTTCTAAGGCAGTGATTCTACTCAAGGGGGAAGTGGAAGGCCTATGAAACTACCGGGCTCAGAAACCTACCCCCACCCCAGGCATAAGCCTGTGAAGCTCTCCCACAGCAAAGGCCCCTTGTAAAACCCTAAGGCTGACGTGACCAAGCTGCTCCTCACGGTGGTCTGTCTATGAGGCTCTGAGCCCTGCCTGCCTTCAGCCCTGGCGCCGCCTCCCATGCTCTCCCTCCCTCACCCTGCCCACCCTGCCTAGCCAGAGGCCTCTGCAGCCATCCCTACAACTCACCAAGCTGGGTCCTCCCTGCGACTTTTGCCCTGGGGTACCCCCATGCCCCTGGGCTGTTCCTTCTCCTAAGTCACCTGTCTCTCTGGATCAGCTCCGAGGCCTTCCAACAGCCCATAGGTAGGAGCACACCACCACTCCTGATTTTGATTCCCTGCCCCTTGTTTATTCACCACACTTAGAGTTTGTCTCCCTCACCTCCATGGGGGTAGGGCTTGTCAAGTGCACCACTATATCCCCAGCACCTGAAGCAATACCAGGCACACAGTAGGTGCTCAATAAATGGCAGAAGCTAAATGAAACCATTCCTGAGCCCTCAATGTCTTTGAGGTCAAATCCACACCTCCCACCTAGGCCCATGAGGCAAAACAGCTCTGCACTGCTCAGCCCAACTCCCACAAGTCCAACTCCCAGCTCTGCGACCTGGCCTGCTCCCACCGCCCTTCTGCCTCAAAGCCTTCTAAAGGGCTACTCTCACCTGGGTCAAGGCCCTTCCTGCTACTCCTAGGGCTGTGGCGGAGATTCAACAAAAGCACATACATGGAGGTTCAGCAGAGCCCAACATCTGGAAAGGAGCTAAAATATCAACATTGGAGGGGCTCCCGGTGGGAGAGGGAATCGGCCTGGATGCTGCATTTGCCAGTCTTTATTTGGTTTTATGCCCCCACCAACCCACTCCTCCAGAACCTCTTGTTTCCTCACCTGGAAAATAGAGATAGCTAAGCTATCTTGAGGGTTCACCCTGTGTGGGCACTCTTCTTAAAGAGTGAGAACAGGTAATGGTAACTGTAGACTTACTGTTATGTCAGCACAGTTATATGCTCTCCACAGATAACCCATTTAACCTTCACAACAACCTATCAGCTGGGAATTATCATCATCCCATGATGCAGATGACAAAATGAGCTCAGATGGGTTGGAAAATCTGCTCAAGGTCACATAGTCAGCAAGTGGTAGGGCTGAATTTGAACCCTGTGCTCTGAATCACTTCAGGACACCGATTCCTAGATCCTGGCTGGACCAGGTGGGGAGTCTGGACACAAGGAAACCTGAGAGAACTGGGGGGAAGGGATGCCCTCAGAACTGCCGACTGATCATTTTACACAGTGCCAGGCAATGGTCTAGAAACTTCTTGTAGGTTAACTCATTTAATCCTCACAACAGCCTGAAGTGGGTACCATTCTGAGCCCACTGCACAGAGATGAACACTGTGGCTCTCGGATACATCACACAGCCAGAACATGAAAGTAACAGAATTTTCATACATGCCCAATATGCCATCCTGTGCAAGGGCCTCCACATGGCTGCTCTGGTAGCTGTGTCACTGCTACAAATCTCTCCTGTTTTGTCCCAGCTCCTAGTACACACACTGCCCCAGGTTAAAAGATGCCTCGCTCAACTCTTGAGAAGAGACCAGGTTTCATGAGCAAGCCTAGAACTGCAAGACTGGCTGCTGGCAGAGTAGCTCACAGTAGCCCTAGACTCCAAAGGTAAGGGAAAGGAAATGCCCAAGGATGCAGTTGGCAGGGGCTTTGAGGTTACAGAGACCTACTACATACAACTTACAGACCTGGTGAGCAAAGTATGTGTGACACCAGGGGCAAGCCCACCTGGAGTCAAACCCCAGCCTGGCCCTCTAGGGTCCAATAGACCTAGGGCAAAGCAATTCCTCCTGGGCCCCAATTTCTGACTCCACAAAGTGGACAGAAACACCACATCTACCTCTGGGTGCGACCAAACCACTGTTCCAGTGACTCACGGATGAGAGATTCACTCTGAGACCCAACTGGGCCCAAGCTCACATCCCAGCTGTACCACTTCCAGCTGGGAGATTCCAGCAAATCATTTCACTTCACAGCAAGTATCTTGGTTTCCTCATCTGTAAAACAGGTATCACACTTGCACCTAGCTCACTATAAAATGGGCATAACCATACCTACCCCAGAGCAATGTTTTGAGATTTAGATGAGGTCATGTGCATAAAAACTCCTCCTCTAAAACAGACTGTGCAACAGTACCTTCAACTCTAGGATGTGAGTATTCAGCAAAGTAATCCACATGAAGCACCCTGAACAAATTGTGACACACAGAATGTGCTCAATAAATGTCAGCCATCAATCACATAATTGTTTTTATTTGCTGGTGTTAACCCCATCAGGCAAATCCTCTAAAAGATGGCAGGAGGAGGCGGTAAGAACAAACCCTTGGTACAGAAAAATTCTAGAGCCACCACAGCCTGCTTCCCAGAGACTCAGGGACTGTTCTCTCCAGGAACCACAACCCAAGGAAGCCAGTCAGCCTCGAGGCTGATGGTGCGGACCAGGAACAACTGTCCGCCTCCTTTGACCACATCACCAGCCCAGGTGGAATTAGCTGGGTCAATCAGGGACTGCAGCCAGTCCTTGAGGAACTCCAGACCTGGGGCAAAGGTTATGGGGCAAGCCAAGGTCACAAGCGGGCCTGGGAACCAGGGGCAGTGGCCCGTCTCACATCTAGTAGTGTGAGGGGTAGTGCTGCTCCAAGTACCTACCCAGTGACCAGTGAGAAAGGAGACCCATGGGGGGTGCCCAAGTCCTTCAGAACAGCCTTCCTCCCTGGGTTCCGGCTGGGCCGGGGCACTCCCGCCCAAGTCCCCTTGGCCTATACAGAGGAACATCTGGGAAAACAGCATTCAGCCTCACTGCCGCCTAATGGATAGGCCAACTGCTATTGCCTGGTGGGGAGTGTAAACATGATAAGACTGTTAACTGGGGAGACACATAAGCCTCAAGGCTAGGATGCAGGGGCCTGCAGTGGTCTGTGTTGGTGCCTGACCCCTTCATACCCACTGCCAATCAAGGTCAGGCTGGGACTGAGCTCCCGATGTTCCCCTGAAAAATTATGAGTGGACAACGTTGCAAAGCAAACCACGGACGACCTAAATACTCCAACTCTGGCCTCTTGCTAAGCCCACGCGGCCTCCAAATGAGAGGAAGGGCGTCCTCAGAATCCCAAGGATCAAGACGTCCCCGACCACCTTGCCCTGGGGGAGAGTTGTCCCAGAAACACTCCTTCCTCCCATGTCTTAATGAGCAGGTTCAGGGCACAGCTCCTCACACCCAAGCTCCATACGCCCTCCCCTCCCTAATAAGGAGCCAAAGCTCAGAAAACCTCAGGCGGTGGCTTCTATAGTATCTCCCTCTACACTCCATTGAAAGAACCAATTTGCCACATAAGTGTCCTACACACCTTAAAAGTAAGGCTTAATAATATGAAAAGGTTCTGCCTTTCATAACAACACGAAACGGGTGGACAGAAGTCACAGTGACCAACCAGGTCCCCCCAGTCACTTAGGAAATTCACTAAAGAGCGATCCTCCTCACTCCAGCCCAGTGTAACCTTCCAAGCCCCACCCACCAAACACAGGAGGCAGGAGCCCCTCCTCATCTCCCTGCATTACAGCCCTCCCAGAATACTCCGCTGAACACCCACTTGGGCCTGGTCCAACCCCCAGCCCGCTCCCTCAGAGATTACAAACATTACCGCCCTCCTAGGATAGAGCGCCGCTCTACGTCCTAAGGACGGCTCCCCCAAGCACCCCAGTGGTACAACCCAGGCGGCGCAACCCCGACCACACTTGGTACAGCTCGCTCCCCAGAAGCCCCCATCTCTAAACACGCTATAGGAACCACTCCCGCAGCCCCGAATGGGTACAGCCCCCTACACTAGGTAAGGCGCGCCCTCTCGGTGGCTCAGCTCTCGTACACCAGGCGCTATTTCCCTTCACGCCGCACCGGTTCAGCCCCCAGCCCACACACGCCGGGGTCTGCGCCCCCAACCCTTCAGTGGTTCGGTCCCCCCATTCTCGTATGTTCCCCCTGCCGCTTCAGTGGTACGGCCCATCGCCCCCGCCCCTGGCCCCTCAGGGCTGGTCCTATCGCCCCCGCGCAGCCACCCCCCCTTAGTCTCGGAAGGGGGGGCTCGAGGATGGCGGTCCCCGCCTGGCGGGCACTGGTGGTACGGACCAGCACGGCACTGCGGGGCACCCGGACGCGACCATCGCGGGGGGCGACGGGGGGCGCTCAGGGACACGCGCCGGCGCACTCACCTGTCACCGGCGGCCGCCCAGCGTCTCTGGAGGGGCTTTACTCCCGCCCATCGCCACGCTGCGCTTGGTCCCACTCCTTGTGTTTCCTGGTGGCGGCAACGGCAGCGGCAGCGGCAACGCCTTCTCAGAGCCAGGCCCAACGGCTCTCGCGGCGCGGCCCCCCCTCCCCTCCCCTCTCCCTGGCCCCCGCTTACCGCCCCCTCCCACCCTCTGGCCGGAAATACCGCCTTCTCCAGCCACAAACAGGAACAGACGTAAAAGACCGAGCCATGCACTCTGAGGGCACTAGAGCGCAGGCGCAAGGAATGGGCGGTGGCGGACTCAGGGCAGGACGCCTGCGTGCTTAAGGCAAGTTTGGGCCGGTTTCGGTAAGGGATTCCTCGCGCAGGCGCCGAACAGAAAGAAGGGATAGGATTGAGCAGGCGCAGTAGAACTCTGACGTCACCTTTGCCTGGAGGCTAATCGCGGTGATGTTTCCCGGCAGCCCGGGGTCTTTATTTACATCCGCTTTGATCTCGTTTTTACTCTGTATTCGCCTTTCCTCGCCGTTCCGAGGATTTTAAAAGAGCCTCGGAGTAGAGGTTGGCACGGTTTGCCGTTACAGTGCTCCCCTCAGGGTTGAGCACTGATTTTGAAGCCATACAAACCCAGCTTTGCATTTCCTTGCTGGTGACTGGGCAGAAGACTTGACGGTTTTCTGTGCCTCGGTGTCCACATCTGCAAAACGGAAACAAGCATAGCTGTGTCACTCAGCTATTGGACTGTTTTATGTTTTTCATATCCCAACCATTAGCTCCTCTGCCTAAACTAGGATGGGGCACTGGGAGAAGCTCAAGAGACTCTGGCAAGTTCCACGTAATGGGCTGCTACCCCTCGCACATAATGGACGGCTACTCCTCAGCTTGGCAACCTGCTATAGCCCTATACCGTCCCCAAACTGGAAGGGCCTGAATCCCTGACACTGATTCCCCAAAGGGATTACTCATGAAAGGTGACTCCAGGAGGCTGTTGCTTGGGGAAGATGCCCAAGGTGGCGCTGTGACGGGATGAGGACCCAGGCTGGTGAGCCCACTGCCTCCACTTGTTTACTGACAGCCTAAGCCCAAAGGCCCCATCTTTTCTGGGTCTGCACATGGGAAGATTCATGGGGAATAGCCACATACAACTTACTAGAGCTGAACCTGGGCTAGCTGAGGATGGAGGGCGGTCACTTTTCACCAGTGCCTGAGCACACCTGGACAGGTGGAGGCCGAGCATCTGGCCCTCCAAGTCACTGTGCACTCTGGATTCCCTTCCAAGGCCCAGTACCCTCCTGGCGAGCCACATGTGCCTACTTCCAGGAGCCCCTTATGCACTGGTGGGCAGGACCAGACCAGTTGGGGTGAGGCTCCATGCCCCACAATTTCTGTGTTGGAAAGGGGACAGATGCAGGGCCAGGGCCTCCCCTCCTCTTGGGGCCAGCTGCTACTCTGGCCAACAGGCCTCCCCTGAAGGGAGGGGCTGGGGCTGTGTCCACACACTTGGCACCCAGAGGATCTCTGCATTGGAGTGGAGGATGGGATGCCCACTTCTGATCTTGCCCCTGGGGCAGCAGTTGGGGGCATCGATGCTGCCAGTAGCCTCAACCGCATGGCTTCTCTGAGGAGCCCGATGACAAGCAGTCCCCAGAGGCCCTGTGCTTGGGCCCAGAGCAGTGCTCCAGGTGCCAGAGGTCCCTGCCACCTCCCCAGCACAAGTCGATTGGGGCAGATGTGCTGCAGCCCACAGTCAGGGTGGCCAGGCAGCCATGTGAGCCTGCTGTCCCAGCATCAGTCCAGGGCCTGGTGTGCTTGGGGCACCTGCACACACCCAGGGCAGGATGGACCGCTAGGCCTCAGTGACAACCCGGCAGGCCCAGGGCTGCTGCTTTGTTTCTGGGCCCAGAAGTTTATCTGTCTCAGATTGAGGCTGGTAGGCCCTGCAGGAAGACAGGTCTGACCTGCACCACTGCCCTGCAGAGGCCCGTCTGCCCTCCTTCTGCCCAAACCTACCTCCTTATTTGGCTGGGGAGCCTGAGGTCATCCCTGGGACACTGTACTATGCAGATGGCTCTGAGGGTGCTGTAGGCAGGGTGAAGGGAAAGAGGGTGGCCTGGGTGTCCCAATTTTACCCTGTCACCGTTCACCTGAGGCTGTCAGGAGGGCCCACATCTGCTTCCCCAGTCCCAGTCTGGGGCTCCACCTGCAGCATAAGTCCTGGAGAATGTCTCCAGCCTGGAGCCCCACATGGAGGTGTTTGTGCTGATCCTGGAACTCCCCTCCAAGCCAGCCCTCTCTGGGAGGGTGAACACATCCTGAGAGCCCTGTGAGAGGGTTATGGGAAGAATCAGAGCCAAGTGCCTCCACTCAGCCTCCCCAGCCTTTTGTCACAGACGTCAGGCCGCTCAGCCAGGAGCCATGGGTGGGACACCGTGGGCCTCACACCAGCCTGGCCTGGGGCTGGACGGCTAAGGGGCCCCGTGGAGGACTGGGGGACCTGGGAGTTTTGGTGGGTGCTCTGAGGTGTGAAGCATGGAGAAATTGGGCTCAGAGAAAGCCCCCCAGTGGAAGGAGAGCACGTCTTGGATGTGCTTTGAGAGACCAAGTTCAACACTTTTTGAAAAGGAATTTCTTGGAAGGTGTGGGGCAGCTGTGTCTCATTAAATGGGGCAGTGCTAGACTGGTGCCCTGCAGCCCTGGGATCTACTTGGGTTACATATGCAGAGGTATTTAAGATGTGAAGAGACGCCCCGGGGCTTCTAATCAGTAGATTTTGGCATCTGATCATAATCTACAGGCGACAGGAAAGAAGGTCCAGTTTCTGTTTGAATAGCCCTCCCCAGTGTTGCCAAGGTGTGCCAGCCAGATACTTAGAGCTCTGCGCTCTTCCTGAGCACCTTATGGGTGGAGGACAGAGGATGGAGGGCAACCTGACAGAGGTCAGGGCCAGGCTGCATCAGAGAATTTGAGGACTGGGGGTGGGGTGGGCTGGGGCACATGACGTCTGCATGTGGGGCAGAGCTTTGAGAAGAAAGAGCAGTGCAGTGGCAATCATTTCATCATTTACTACATTCTGCTTGCACAGGGATGACCCCTATCCCCAGGAACCAGAAACCTCAGAGACAGCATCCACATCACACTACCCTCAGGGAGTCTATTTCTCACGGATGAGGGGAGGGAGTTGCACAGGGGTCTCCCCTGGGAGCATGCCCCAGGACCCTGTGACAGCTGGCTACCCCCTGCATGCTCGGATGCCTCTGCTGGGCACCCAGGGGCCAGTGGTCCCACGCAGGAGTGTGCTGTATCCAAGTCCATCCCGGGAAAGGCCGGGCCTGGTGAGGACAGCCCCCACCTCTTCCTTGAACCCTGTGTCTACAATTTGGTGGCTGATGGCACCCAGGCAACAGTTGGCACCAGCGTTGTTGATGCCAACACAAGGAGCGCATCCTCTGCATGGTGAGGTGGCTCACATCTGTCCAGCGGGCCACGAGCAGAGGGGAGGACACAGCATGAAGGTGGCCAGGTTGGCCGCGGCTACATACAGGCCCCTGAGGATGCAGCAGCAGCCTGGGGAGCTGCCCGAGTCTGCCCACCGATGAGGCACCAGAGCATCTGCCCAGCAAAGGCTTAGGAGATGCAGTGGGAGGAAGAGGAACAGCAGGCAGACTAGGGTCCTGGGGCACCAGGTGCTGCCTGCCTGAAGGGGAAGCTCTCCCCCCGCACGCAGCCAGGACACCAGCAGGGCCGCGGGCCGATGACAGCAGCTGCAGGGCCACGCAGGTGAACAGAAGAGGCAGGTTATCCCAGGTTCCCCTCATTATCCTACTTCCTCCATCCTCACTGCCCTCTGTGCTCCTAGCCCTGTGCAGAGGGCTCTGTCAGTCACCAGCACCCGGGGGGTCCCTGTCACGGGAAGGCTCATGAGCATCACCTATGCACAGAGGAGGAGGCTGGGTCCCAGAGAGGGAGGGGAGTCACCCTTCAGTCTGACAGGACTGGTCGGCCATGGAGCTGGGGTCCCAGCCCAAGCTGTCTTTACAACACCCCCACACCCAATAGCCCAAAGCTTCCCCGAGGATCTGGAGCAGCCCACCCCTTGCCAGTTGCGCCAGCCCAGAAACTCACCTGGCCCTGGCCAGTAAATTTAAACATTGAGGCACATGAAGAACCATAACAGTCCCTTTCTGCTGGCCCTCTGGCCTGGGGGCTCCAGCTGGCAGGACGGTGTAGCTGCAGGACAGAGGGCCAACTATGAGCCCCTGGAGCCACATGTCAGGGGGCCCTTCTCCCAGAGCCTGGCAGCAGCTGGAGCCCACACCTGACTCCTGCTGGCCTCACCTCTCCTCCTCATCCAGGGGCTCCACAGCCTGGAGAAAGGACATGAAGTGCTCCTTAGGCTCCAGGTTATAGTCGAAGGCCAAGGTCCTGTGCATTACGATTTCACGTAGGACGGCAGTGATCTGGGGCAGAGGAAGGACAGGATGCAGACAAGGGTGGGGGGTGAGGAGTGGGGCAGTGGGATGGTCCCAGATCTTTGCTCACATGGGAACCCGCCTTCCCTCCAATTCCATCCAGCACTGCCAGTTCCCACTGTTGGGTCTCCAGCTCCTCCCCTAGGAAGGCGGCCTTGAGGCCACTCCCATCCCCTACCTGGCAAAGCCTTTAGTGTCTTCAGCTATGCCTGTCTTAACTCCCCCAAGACATGTAAGACCCAGGGGATGGGTCAGAGAGGTTCCTGCCCAGGGGCTCTTGACTCCTTCCCTCACCTTTCCTGGTAGGATGCTGCAGCCATTGACCTTTCTTTCTTTCATTCTGTCAGCCTGGAAGGCAGAAAGGCAGCCAAAGTGCATCAGAAACAGACCCACTGAGCCCAGAACAAGGCCTGAACCTCCCCACCCTTTCTCAAGTTGGAGGATCGTCAAGGCCCTCCAAGGGGCAGGCCTGCCCAGAAACAGCACCCACATCTGGCCCAGGATCGGGGATACTGAGAAGCAGTACTGGATTGGGGAACTGAGGCCAAGCTTCCCATGCAACTCTCTGTAATGGCAGACAGGGAGACAGGTCTCAGGAGGGAAGGCAATGCCAGCCCCCTGATGTGCTTCCTGCCTTGAAGGAGCAACATCCCTCCCCTTGGGCAGCGCGTGAGAGGAAGGCCAATCCTGCTCAGCTGCTGCCCCTTGAAGCCCTCAGCCCCACCTGCCCTGGGCCAGGACTGGGGCTTGGGGGTGTCCTTCAGGCAGTCCTCTCAAAGAAGCCCAGCTCCTGGGGTGGAGGGGGGTTCTCAGAGGGGAGGTGGCCCGGTGCTGAGAGGTGCGGGCTCACAGGGGCTCTCTCTTCTCCAAAGCTCCCCATCCTGCCCCCCGCCCCCCGTGCCCCTGTGGGATCACTCACATCCTCATTATGCTCTGGGAGTTTGTCTAGGAGCAGGTCATCAAGAAACATTCCAAGGAAGGGGACCCTGCCCTGTGCCACAGGGGTGGGGGGGTGATGAGTCCCCCCCTGCCTCAGGGGCACCCAAAGAGCCTGCCCTGAACTCCACACCCACAGCCCCCAGCTCCCTTGGACCCGCCTATGCTGCCTCCCTCCCCTCCCTTCACCCTGGCTCCCCTCCTGGTCCCTCCCAGGGCTGGCTTTTGGCCAATCCCAGGACCTGTGGTCCCTGCATCTCTCCCTCAACTTCCCCCTGTACCCAGCTGCTCTCACCCTCCTCCTGGTCACCCCAGTGCTGGCAGTTCAGGGTTCCTAGCACCAGAAGCAGGTGCAGGATCACCCTCACTGCCCATGACCCTGGCCACGTCACTCTCACCTGCTTCCTCCTATCCTCGGTTCCCCAGGCGTCCCACAGCTGTTGCTGCACCATGGAGTCCGCCTCCTGCAAGGTCCAGGACACTCAGATGCTCATGCTCCCCTCCCACGTGGCCTCCCACAACCAGACCTTGGTTGATGGATGCCTTGCCTGAGTCACCTGGCACCTATGCTGTCCCCACCACCAGCAGAATCTCAGCCAAGAGCGATCCCAGCTCCAGCACACACTCATACTCACAGGTGTCCTTGGGCCACGGCTGGCTGCCCTGAGAGGCTTCCTCACCTGCAGAGTGTCAGGGGAGATCCCTCTGCCTCCCAGGATGCTCTGAGGACTCACTCACCTGGCTATCACCACAGCTCCCCTCACATGACCAGGTGGGATGGGCACAAAGCTGAAACCCATCTTGTGCTCCCTGGACCCTGCTCATCTGGGGAGCCTGCACTGCAGAGTGACAACCCTCCATGTTCACATGAGGAGCCCGAGGCCACAGAGGGGCAGTGACGGGCTCAGAGGACCCACGGGAGAGGCCAACCTTATTCAGCCATAGGCCCCAATGCTGCTGCTGACCCCACGCCAGCCCCAGCCCTGACCAGGGGCCTGTCCTCTGGGTGCTCACTGGATGTCAGGCCCCCAGTCGAGCGGAGCCAGGCAGGGAGACAAACGGTACCCAATTTTCCCCATCAGCTCCCCCTTCTCACACAGCACACCTCGAGTCTGCCACAGGGCTGGGCCACAGCATGGCAGAGGACTTGCCCCAAGAACCACCTTCCAGACCTCTAGCTTCCATTTACCTTGAGGAGCCACTTCCTGTTTATGCACTTGTCCCTCCTTTTGAGCTTTTTGTACATCCTGAATCTCTTCCTAAGGGGAGGGGAGAGGAAGAGGGAGATACATGGCCAGTAGGTGGAGAGTTTGGGGGCAGACCCCTTTTCCTAGGACATCCAGAAGATCCACTAGCCTGCATGAGGCTTTCTACCACTGCCCTGAGCCCTGGGAAATCTGTGACCTGGGGAGGGGGCTGCATGTTTCCACCCGGGGCCTCCATCCCCAGTTCTCCCCAGGGCAGATCTGGTTTGAGCCAGGTCACTGTTCTTGGGGCAGAGACCTCCTGCTGCAGAACACATGCTCAAAATCTGCAGTTGGCTTCAACTCACACCTGTTGCAGGAAACTGATACCTGCCGGGGACCCGCTGGCCTAACCCACAGGGGCTTCGAGAGCCCACCATCCCTGTCCCTAGGCTCGGCCACCTCCCAAGAAGTCCCAGCTGACTGAGGGGACACTGCCAGACCGAGGGGTGTCCCTGTCCACTTAGGTGCCCTGGTCCCGGAGACAGGACTACCCACCAGGAAACATGTCCCCAGGTGCTTTCCAGATGATGTACGGTACGGCTTTTCAGGGCCAAGAGAATAGCATGGAGGGACGCAAAATTTTTGAGGGCCAGACACTCCTGGGAGGGAAGACAGAGCTGAGAGTGTGGTCTACGTCTCTGCTTCTGTCCACCAATGAACTCCTATCCTTAAGGAGACAGACACCCAGGGAGCCCAGCACACCTGGTACCTGGTGAGCAGCCCTCCTGGTTGGAGGATTTTAGCTCAACCCATGGAAGGGGCCAGGTATGGCTGTCCCACCCCTGAGGCCTGCAGGTCCAGGCCCATATGCCCCTGGCAGGAGGGGCCCAGGGACCGTGCAGGGTCAGACCACAGGCATCCATCCTGAGGCTGGCAAAGGTGGGGAGCAGGTCCCAAGACATGAACCCTGGGGTCTAACCCATGACACCTTGGCCACCCAGATCCAGAACTCCACCACTTGGGCCCTGTCCTGGCCTGTCATGCTCGGGGCCCTGAGGCAGGAGAAGGTGACCATGTTAACCACTCTATCAAATTGCCGGGTGACCTTGTGGATGGTGGGGGCCAGGTGCTCAATGCCTCTCATATGTGGCTGGTTCAAGAAGTAGGCCTTGCAATCAGAATATGTCAGTCTGGTGAACAGCGCCTGGGAATGACAACAGAGGGTCATCCAGCCGTTCCCACAGTGCCCCTGGTCCCCGGCAGAGTCACCAGTCAGAGCTGGAGCCCAAGCAGCTGGGGACGTGCTGTGAGCCCTGTGGCCATCTGAGCCTTGTACCCCGCCCACTGAGGCATCCTGGACCAGATGCACAGGACCCCGCAGTGATGGGGAACAGAGGGGCTTTGCTCCCAGGCATCCTCATTCACCTCCTCCCTTCAGCACAAGGCAGCTCACCCTGCCCATCCTGGGGCATCTGCCTCCCACTCCGTCACTCCATGGATCCCGCTACCTATTCAGGTGCCGTTTCCCCAAAAACAACTCCACCCAGGGCCTTTGTTGCTGTCTGTGTCTCCCATGCAGTCAGGTACATGGCAGAGGTCCCTGAAGTGCAGAGGCTGCGGAGGCCTGCCAGGCCAATGGCCTGAGGACTTAATGCCCTGGCAGCACCTCCCTGAGCACCCCTCCCCTGCCCTCCCCACCTTCCCTCTACTCCTCCTCATTGGTCTGCAAGGATCCCTAAGTGCCAGCCCTACTGTCCCCATATGGTCAGTGAAGGCATGGGTGTGAGGAGAGTCTCCCAGGGCACATTGTGAGTCCATGGGGAGGCTGGGACCAGTGGACCCAGATCACAGGAGTTCACATCAGGAGATGGCAGGTCTGTGGCAGCCCATGACACAGGGAAAGCCTACCTTCAACTCCAAGAGCCCACTCTGCTCACCGTATACATCAGGGTCAGCTGCTCAGCCACCAGGCGTGGGGGGAATGCCAGGATGGTCGGTTTCTCCTCCCTTGGCACGTCCTGGGTGCTAATGGCAGAGGGGCTGGTGGGCTCTGGCTCTGCCAGGCCTGGTGCCATTCCTGCAGGTGTCACAGGCCCTGGGCCTGAGGGCTCATGGGGCTCCAGCTTGGGGCCTGGCACTGGGGCTGAGACCACTCCTGGGATATCCCAGATGCTTGTGGCACAGGGCCTGGTAGGATCTGGGTCTTGCTGTGGCTCTGCCAGACACAATGTCATTCTTGAAGGTTTCACGGGCCCCGGGCCTGAGGGCCCAGGGGGCTCCAGCTCAGGGCCTGAGACCACTCCTGGGATGTCCCAGGTGCTTGTGGCATGGGGCCTGGTGGTATTAGGGCCTGGCTGTGGCTCTGCCAGGTGCAGTGCCATTCCTGCAGATGTTACAGGCCGTGGGTCCAAGGGCCCAGGGGGCTCCAGTTCGGGGCCTGGCACCAGGGCTGATGCCACTCTTGGGACATCCTCTGGCTCTTCAGGGACTGAAGCAGGTGACACCAGCTGTAGCTCCAGCATAGGTGTAAGGAACACCTCAATTTGCTGTAGACACAGAGCCTGCTCTTCCTGTCTCTGGAGCCAGCTGCATCTGCCATGGTTCTGGAGCAGAACAGAGAGAAAGGGTCACTCCAGGGCTGATTTCCCACGTCTTACCAATGACAGGAAAGACATCACTGCCTTGAAGGGAACCCCAGTCTGGGAAGCCCACCCTTGATGGTCTCCTGGCTGTAGCCCCTCACCTTCCAGCTCTGCCACCGTGGGCCCCAGGTGCTCCTCCTGGACCAAGTGGTGGAGAACTTGGCCATCCAGGTTGGTTGAAGGCTGGCTGCCATGGAGNACCTCCAGTACTATGTTAAATAACAGTGGGGAGAGTGGGCATCCCTGTCTGGTTCCCGATCTCAGTGGAAATGCCTGGCCACTCTGCATTCCCCTGCCTGTCCAGGCAACTGCCCTTCCCTCTTCCTGACCCTGTATGTCTGTCCTAGGACCCCATCCTTTCCAATTCTCCTGAATAAGAAGTCCCCAGTCATCAGCCTGCCTGTGGGAATCCAAAGATGCGTGACCTGCTGGTTTCTGCTGTGCTCCCCCTGCCCCAAGCCCCAAACCCCTCCTCCTCCCATTCTGTGCAGATGGGCAGTGCCCCCTCTGGACCCAGTGAGAGCTCACATTTTCAGTTCCTCCTCGGGTCCCTCGTCATGCCCCCTGTAATCTGAAGTGACTGCCCAACTCCACCCAGGATGGTGTCCCAGTATTTTACCTGCTTCTTTCACTCAGTTATCCTGAGTGCCCCCAAAGGGCCTGCACAAAGTGGGTGCTGCATATCTATTGTTGCTAAAATAAGTCCCACCAGAACCTTTCCAGGTACCCCTCTGCTGCCCCCAGAGGTCCCTCATGTGGCCACAGGGAATCGTAAGCCTCCATTCCAAAGGCTACTTTCCATGTGCTTTTCCAAATTCAGCTAGGCTTCCGGCCACTGACTGGTGAGGCCAAAGGCTTTTCATCAGGTACAGAGAAGCAACAGCCCCAAAGTGGCCTGGCTTGGCCAGCAGTCCTTTCCACAGTGCCAGGCACCAGGGGAGCCCCTCTAAGGCTCCTCCCGTGTTCCCCATGGGTGCCCTAAAAGGCTGATCATCAGCCACCCTGCCTGTCAGTGGAGCACGCTGCAGCTCAGACACATGTGGGAACACTCAACACACAGCAGGCTGTGGGCAGAGGCCCGACTGTGCCGAGGAGGGGGTGGGTGCTCACCAGGGGAGCAGCTGGTAGCATGTGACCAGCTGGTCAGCAACCTCTGCAGGGAGTAGGCCTCCGGAAGTGTTCTGGTTGCGGTGACACCTGGAGACCCTCTTGCCATGAACAGTTCTTGCATCTCCTCCACACCTGTCAGCTGGTCAGCGGCCTGGGGAAGGAGTGTGAGCACAGGAGTGATGCAGCTGATGTTCCTAGCTGGTCCACGTGTGCCATGCCCCTTCTCCACCTCTTCATCACACCTGTCCAGGGAGCCCTCCACTTGGGGACCTTAGTCCCATGGAGAGCTGACCCATGTTCACGCTGAGGGGGCAGGGGGGATATAGTCCGTGGGAAACCCAGGAACCACCAGGATGAGAGAGGTTTGCAGCTCACCCTAGAGCCCCCAGTCCCCTGGGATGCTAGCAAGGCGAGGGACGGGGTGCCCCCAGGGAATGAGGTTCCAGGCCCTCTGGAATGGGGCTGTCGGCCACTTTCATAGGGAAGCCCTGGGAGGGCCCTGGTAGGTTGCCAGGTTTGGAACAGGGTCCTGGGTGTAGACAGCCTGCCCCAGGTCCAGGGAGATGGAGTAGGTGAATCCATCCACCAGCTCCTCCACGCTCCCCAGGGTGGAGCTCTGCAAAGCCGGCGCCTGGTAGCTGGGGAGGAGGCACCCGGGGCTGCCTGGACCTCCCTGCAGGGGGCAGTGTGGGCCCCAAACCCTGCCCCTGAGATCAGGCACACAGGGCCATCTGCATAGACGTCCAGTCCCTGAGGGAAGGAGAGGACACCCCCCGGGCTCAGGATTAACATGTGGGTGGAAGTACCTGGTCCCAACACTCACCTCCACATCCTGAATGATGAGACCAGAGCTGTGACACTGACTGACCGGCCAGGGGACCACCACCTCACAACATGCTACCACCCAGGAACGGTCCCCCTCCTCCCCAGCCTTCAGTCCCACCCATGCCCCACACCCACCGCACACACACAGAAGGGGCCAGTGGGAAGGTCAGCCCAGGATGGGTCACACTTGTGGCCTGGCCCTGGAGTGGCCCGCTCTGGGCTGCCTTGTGTTACCTCGGGGCTCCTCGGGCACTGGTGGTGGTCACTGAGCCAGCGCCGACAGCGAGGGATACTGTTCCTCTTGGCTTTCCTGACTCCCACGCCTTCAGAAGGCTCTACACAAGACCGCATGTTGCTCTGTCGAGTGTATCCGGTCAAGTGGGAGGGGTCCACCCCTTTAGGAGGCACTTTGCCCCAGACACCATCCCCACTGGGGGATCTTTGGATGAATCCTTGCCATCCACAGGCGAATCCCCAGGTGAGTCCCCACCACCTCTAGGGGATTAAGAGTATCTCCCCACCATCTATAGGAGAAGCCTGCCCAAACACAGCACCCATGAGGACCTATTTCAGGTTCACCGGGTGCTGCCAACTATGCCAGATGTAGTTCCAGAGGGAAGGATGTTCCCAGGCCAGGGTGAGTCCCCCTATGAGACTGCAAAACCGAATCAGTCAAGGGAAAGGATAGGGAGGGAGAAAGGCTTTTATTTCTTAGTCGCTAGCCAGGCTCTGCACCATCCGTCTCCTCCAGCCATGGCTGGTGCTCTCTTTCCCTACCCACCCCTTCTAGCAGGAACTCCACGGGCAGGTCCCTGGTGCCTGGCACATGCCAGGCCAATTACTTAGTGGGAATGGAGGGGAGGAGAGAAGGGCCATTTTCTCTCCACCCCTTGTCCCAGAGTCTGCAAGGCTCTGCATTGATTACAACCATTGATTTGTAAATGAGCTAAGGCTACATGGGAGGTACTGGAAATTCTGCCATTGACCCATTACCCCTGTGCCCTCTGGAGCTTACAGACAGGTCAGAGGAATGTATACAATAGATTTATCCTAACTACACGAAGCACTGTGATGTGCCAGGTAATCCAAGCCTTATTCCAAGGGTAATTCCTTCAGTATTCTGTGACCTCATGTAATCAAGATTGTGTGATGATGGCCAATGGACAGATGGAGAAATGGATGTGCTTACTGTTCCATCCAGGTCACAATTTAGGATGACACTGGGTGTGTCATCAGTGACATCACTTCTTCAAGGGTCCATTTCCTGGGCCCCTCCCTGCATTCACACGCGCCCACATGCCCCTCTGGGCTGCTGACTGCCCACCCTCCCAGCCCTTGCCATGCATGACTACACAAATCTCCACCAGAGCCCTCCCCTCGCTCTTTAGCAATGTCACCAGGATCCCAGCTCTGAGGATACAAGAGCTGAGCTCAGACCTCTTTTTCTCACTAGTTCCCTGTCCTGCTGAAGCCACAGTACCTCCCAGGAGCTGCCCAACGTCCCAACCTGCACAAGAAGGGTCATGCCAGACATTTCTCCCCAGGGACATCCTCAGAGATATATGGATGACACCTCCAACTCCTGGGGGCTGGTGTCAGGTTTGTCTGATGCACAGACTCAGAGATGGAAGAATGCCAACCTGGCTTGGCATGGAGCATAGAACACGACACAAGTCAGGCCCAGGTTCAGGCCTTGTGATCTTGGGCAAGTCACTCCCCGTCTAGGTCATTTTCATGTGTGCACCTTGAAGGGGTGGCAATGAGAGGAGAACCAGGACTATACACCCCAGTGCCTCCTGTTGGCGTGTGTGGTGGGCAGCCTGTATGGTGAATCCAGTAATCCCTCCTTGTAGTAACACCTGCCCTGTGACCACTGCATGTTGTGAACAGCACAGCCAAGGGGATGGGCTATTACAACCACATTTCAGGATAACCAATTGGTCACTTACCCACTTTTCATGCTCTCCGTCCAATAGGATTCTGATGACACCCAGTTCAGTGAGCTCGGGAGCCCTTGTCATCGTATATGTGTCATGACTTCTATGCACATATTCCATTTTTCAGACAAAAAGGAGTGGGGTTTGGATACACTCAGAAAATGGATACATTCATCCGTTGTATTCATGGTGTGACATATTTAGGGAGCAAATGTCATGGTTAAGATCATAAAATAGGGAGTTACCAACTGGTGTTCAACTTCCAGCTTTAACCACTTGGTAGGCATTTGACCATGGGTGAATGACCTACCTTTTTAGTAAGCACATCCATTTCTCCATCTGTCCATTGGCCATCATCACACAATCTTGATTACATGAGGTCACAGAGAGTACTGAAGGAATTACCCTTGGAATAAGGCTTGGATTACCTGGCACATCACAGTGCTTCGTGTAGTTAGGATAAATCTATTGTATACATTCCTCTGACCTGTCTGTAAGCTCCAGAGGGCACAGGGGTAATGGGTCAATGGCAGAATTTCCAGTACCTCCCATGTAGCCTTAGCTCATTTACAAATCAATGGTTGTAATCAATGCAGAGCCTTGCAGACTCTGGGACAAGGGGTGGAGAGAAAATGGCCCTTCTCTCCTCCCCTCCATTCCCACTAAGTAATTGGCCTGGCATGTGCCAGGCACCAGGGACCTGCCCGTGGAGTTCCTGCTAGAAGGGGTGGGTAGGGAAAGAGAGCACCAGCCATGGCTGGAGGAGACGGATGGTGCAGAGCCTGGCTAGCGACTAAGAAATAAAAGCCTTTCTCCCTCCCTATCCTTTCCCTTGACTGATTCGGTTTTGCAGTCTCATAGGGGGACTCACCCTGGCCTGGGAACATCCTTCCCTCTGGAACTACATCTGGCATAGTTGGCAGCACCCGGTGAACCTGAAATAGGTCCTCATGGGTGCTGTGTTTGGGCAGGCTTCTCCTATAGATGGTGGGGAGATACTCTTAATCCCCTAGAGGTGGTGGGGACTCACCTGGGGATTCGCCTGTGGATGGCAAGGATTCAACCAAAGATCCCCCAGTGGGGATGGTGTCTGGGGCAAAGTGCCTCCTAAAGGGGTGGACCCCTCCCCAGAATCTGGGAAAAATGGGGACGCTGGAAGCATGCTAAGCACCTTCCTATAGCTCTGCTTGTACCTCAGCAGATGACAAATACTAAGTTTTCCCTCTGTAAAATTGGGGACTCGGGAACTGAGTGGCCATGACGCGGCAGTAAAAGTGGGCTGGTTGTTTCTTGCAGCATTGGAAAGTGTTGCTAATGACA